CACTTGGTTTACTCAGCTTGGAGAAGGCTGAGGGGTGACCTCAGGGCAGCCTACAGCTTCCTCAAGAGGGAAAGCAGAGGGACTGGTGCTGATCCCCTCTCTGAGACTGCTGTCAGGGCACGAGTAGATGGAATGAAACCGCATCAGGGGAAGTTCACACTGGGCATTTTCCCTGTTTCACCTTCACTGAAACAGGCTCCCCAGGGAGTGTCACAGCTCCATGCCTGTCAGAGCTCATGGAGCATCTGCACAACTGTCTTGGTCATATGGTTTAGTTTGGGATAGTCCTGTGAGGACAAGAGAGTTGGAGTCTGTGATCCACATGAGTACTTCACTGCTTGAGATATGCCAAGGTTCTATGATTATCTATTTAGTTTCTGTGGAAATTTTGACCCTTTCAGTTCAGTGACTACAGGGATTAATATAATAAAAGTTGTGTATATATAGCACTTTCTTTTGTTAATTTTTTAATTTGCCTCTCCTGAACTGAAAGTAACTTGGTAACACATTTTGTGTAAGACCGCACCAAAAATCTGTCCAGTTCATTGTTCTGAGAGTAGCAGTTGTGTAGGACAGAGTACTTGAAGGCAAGCACATAAATACATTTCTCTTGTGTGGCCCCCACAGCCTGCTCTTAATCTTTAGGCTGTGATTTTGGATGTAATAATTCTTGAGGGATTTTTCTTCCACTTTGTGAATCCTTTCATTTCTCAACCTGCACAAACTTTTGGCACCCACAGCATTCCACATAAAGGAATTCCACACCTGAGTTTAGTTTGTAATAAGAAAATATATACTATCATTTATTTTAAATACATGGCATCTTAGTTTATTCAATGCCCTTATTGGGAAAGACTTATTGTTCCTTACTCAGATTCCCGTAAGGCCACATAATTTCTTAGACCTCTATCCTTTCTCTCATCAGTTGTCCATTTTTGAAGATAAAGAGTCCTATTTTTTTAATCATTCTTCACATGGAAGTTGTTCCATAGCTTTAGTCGTCGTTATCTCAGGTCTTTGTATCTTGCATGGCTTTTCTGTGTCTGTTTCATAACACAGGAACCAAAACTGCACAGTACACCGTGTGAGGCACAAGAAGGATCTCAGTGGTGGCATAGTGTCCCGTTCACTGCCAATTTTAGTATTGGGGTTGCTTTTCTGAACAGCCTCTGGACAATACTTGTTCATAAAAACTTCTCAAACTAAATTTGAGAACTTCCCTAAATAGCAGTAGCTAGTTCAGAGCACATGCCGTTGTGTATGTGGAGTGTTGGCTTTCCCCTACCATGTTCATTTCTTTCCCTTTTGTACTGAAATTTGTGCATTAGCAAGACTTAGTGCACTGAAAGATTGTTCATTTTTCCTAAAAAATCCAGGATATTTTCTGGTCAACAGTCAGGGTATTACTTATGTAATTATCCAGCAGTACATTTTCCAACATCCTGTCTGAAGAGTATGCTATGGAATATTCAAATTATCAAAATAGAAATTATTTTTGCAAATGTAGCCCACATTTTGACTTATACTTTCTGAGCATCTTGTGCAGATTTTTCAGAGTTAATGACATTGGCCTTTGAAAAAAATCAAGTTTCTTGAAGGTGCAGAGAAGATATTGTAAATTACAAAAGATTGAAAATTACAAAGGACTCTTCATCCTGATTTGATATATGTATGTATATAGAAACAATGTATGATAACAGAAGTAAAAGAACTAAACGGAAGTTTCTGTAACGGGCAAAGGGCCAGACTTCTAAAGTATTACTTTTGTGGGTAGTGAGAGTTGGCCACCTCAACTCCTTTAAAAATCTGATCCTGAAACAATTTTTAAGACTGTCAGTACAAAGGATTTCTTGAACTATGCTATAAACTCCAAAGTCACCTGCCAAGGGCAATGTCTTCTGCTGGACCTTGCTTTTACTATGGAGATATAAAAGCTCTTTGAATACTAATCAGTGACCTAGAACTCCAACAAAAATTCTAAAATCTTTAGACAAATTCATTTTAGCATTAAACATTTAAGAGCAAATATCTGAATGAAAAGTCACTGCTTTCTTAACTAATACAAGTTTTATAATTTCCCAAGAGACTACTTAAAAAAGAAATATAGCTACTGGTGAGGCTCCAAAGTTGAGCTTCAGGAAACAGTGGCTTCTGTTTGACAATAATAAAATTCATGGGAAAGGCTGTGGGACTTTCTTTCAAGGTAAAAACAAAGGCTTATTTCATTAGCCACTGATACACTGATCCAAGAACAAAAAAAAAAAAAGTAAAAAGTTTAGCCTCTACACAAGCAAAAGCATCACATTTTTTAATATATAAATCTACAAGGAGAGTATGCACACTTATGAAGGCTGGCTTAATTATAGAGCTTAATAAAAGGCATATGTCCTTTGACTGCTGAATTAGTCCACAGGGCTGTTGTTACTGTCAATGATAATGTAAAAATAAATAAAAATCTCCTCCACAATACAGAACAAATGCAGAAAAAGACCTGCTTAGATGCGACGGGAGTGAACATTTTGTCTTGAAAGGGAAACAAAATCGATATGACGTTTTCAGTCTGGCAAATCAGGAAAGGGATCCCTGTAAAAGAAGAGAAGGAAGAAGATGGGTAAACAAAGCAAGAGGGATGTCTTAGTTTAAGCTGCAAGTCATAGGATAGGAAGAAAAGAATTCATATCAAGAAAAATTTTTATTTATTATACTTCTGTATCTGGTGCTTATGTAATAAACTGATAGTAAGTAAATATCCTTGTAGAGAGCATTTGAACAAGCATCAGTCTGTGTTGCATGACCTGTATGTCTGATGAAAGCTGACTTGTACTGTCTGGAAAGCAATGCACTTCCCTCAATAATAGACAGTATATTTCTTTGGCACAAAACAAGGGCTTGCAATAGGTGAATTAACATGACTGACAGAGTTCTGTTTAGAGCAGCTCAACATGAGGGAATTTATCCCTTTTTCTTTAAGAAATTTTGCTGAAAGATAGTATTTCACCAAATAACGTCAACATCATGCTCTGGTAAAAGCATTTTTTTCATTTACGGGTCTGGTTTTGTTACCTGGACCAAATCAGAGTGTTTAAAAACTATTTCTTTTCCTTGAATCTTACTTTAAGTCTCATATATGGCATTCTAAGGATATTTTGCAAAGTATATCTAAAAATACAATCTTTCAAATAAATGGTATAATTTATTTTAAGTGTTTTAAATAGTTTTTCTTGTGCAATGTTGTAGTTCCACATGTTCTGTGTACCTCAACAAGCAGAAGCATATTCTTCATGCTAAACTTTAAAATCAGAAATGTAGGTTCACATAATTTTATCTTTAGACCAAGCCTTGAAATTGTAGTTTTGAGACATAAGGTTTAAAAAGCATGATTCTCTTTTTTGACTTGCCAAATGTCTTTCATTATGCTTGAGAAAGTGGATGGCAAAGAGAAGTAGTCAAGGAGAAGTGGCAAAGCAAATGCAGAATAACACATAACACAATGTTGAAAAGTAAGCAGAATTAATCTTTAAACTGTTTCATATTTTCTGTGGACATCACATGGCTGTGTGAGGATTTATCTTCCAGAAGAGATTCTACTGGGGTTACTTAAGAGGTTTTCCTTGTTTTCATAAGGGTTTGAGGTTTATTTTCTTTTTTAGATCCGCTTCAGTGCTTCTTGATGTAAGATGAGTTGAGTCCTCCCCAGTCTGTGTATGTATAGTCCAAAGAAGTAGCCCCTTTTATATCCTTAATAATCTGGGAACATTGTGGATGGGGAACTTGGGTATGCACAAATCTGTTTATTAAAGAAAATAAACTCAAAGTGTAAAGTCAGTAACGTAATAGAAACTTTGCAAGTCCTTCATAAAAAATGGAGAAATTGTATCTAGCTTTTCCTTTCCCAGCTTTCTGTTCTTTCCATTATATGTGTATTTGCCTCACTGTGTTGTGCAGAGTTTACTCTTTTTAGAAATACCTAGTTCTGCTTCCTATTGGCACTTACATGATTGTACATCTCATGGATTCTCATCCAAAAAGCTGTCAGCTGAGTCCTTCAGATTCCCTAAACTAATCTCTTTTAGAAAGAAGCCAGAGAATCAACATTGATGTCTCTCCATCTTCTAATGTGTCTTCTAGTCTGATTAAAGTTGCCTTCTGGTAGTCACTGGTAAACTGTTATCAGCTGTACAGTTAATATAAAACTTCTAGATTTTGTGTCTTGAATGCCTAATTTATTTATGAAGGCTGATGCAGAAGTTGATTTGGATGTTCCTGGACTCTCTGTCTGACTCACTTCCTCCCTGTTGGTTTCAATAACAAAGCGGTCTCCTAATCATCCCTGGTCAACATATTTTAATTCTTTTTCCTGAGCTCCATCCTACAAGGAGCTTTAGGTTTCCTTTTGAGAGGGAATGTGTGCATAGTTGACATTTCGGTTTTCAATAGTATCAGAATATGGGGCCACATCTCATATACAGCTCCCCCAAAGACAGTATGAAGATATGCCAAAGAGGAAGCTCGCTGACCAGATGTGGATTTTTGTGAACACAGCCAGCTCAGCCTAGAGGGACTCATAGAGCTCTCTGTTGTGGTCAGAACCTGAAACTTATTCCCTGTAGTGACCTAAGAGAATCAACTTGAGGAGATCTTTCAATCTTACATTCCCGTCTGAAAAAAAAGATGAAGGCACTTGTATGACCAAATTTAGCAATTCCAATCTTGAGCATTTTTAATACACATATAATATCTGTGTACAAAATGAGTCCAGTTATCTGGACTCAACTGTGACTTTTTACTTACCGTTCCACTGGTAAGTTTTTAAAATGCAATTCAAGTTCAGGGTTAAATACATCAATTGAATTATAGCACAGATCTTTGCATGTATATACAACAAATTCTTTATCCAGTAGGGAAAAATAAATGGGTGATACTGCTTGGTTTTCCAACAGAGTTCTAAAATTACCTCATGAATATGCAATGTACCTAACTTAGTTTATTGTTTGATTAAGGTCTTGGCATTGACAAGAGGACATCTTTACCACAGAGCAGTTCTTCCCCATGGGATGATACGTTTTTCAATATATCCATACATGCAGCAATAAGACATGGAAAATGGAAGTTACTAACTGGATATCCAGGTAACAAAATAACTCCTTTTTGTATGGTGTATCCTGTCTCCCACCCACCACAAACACAGTTTCATTTTGTATCATGTTGTTCAATTTATTCTAATAATTCTGCTAACTTCTTAGATTTTTGACCACATGCAAAGATCTAGAATAAGCACTTCAAAAATCCAAACAATGTATTTTTTTTCATTTTCCAAATATTTTTTCTGCAACTTACTTGAACTGTAAGGAAAAATCTGTTACAAGATATCTCAAGTTGGAAGGATCCATTAAGGATCATAGAATCCTAGAAGAAGGGCCGTTAAAGTAATTAATTGATATGAAATAAAGTTACATGGAATTTTGAATCTCAGTGGTGCAGCAGTTTTTTGCATAAATGAGATTACTATTTATGTAGCCCTGCACTAGAGAGACTCTGGTGCAGGGCAAGAGTTAAGGTCTGGAGTAACAGTCGCTGCATAGGGGCTTGTCAAGAGGCCTAGTGAATTAATCAGTTACAGCAAAACTGTCTCCACATTACTGCTCTGTATCTCAGAATTGACCCTTCCTCTGTTCCTGGTCCTCTAGGCTGCAGTCATTGGTTCCCTCCACCGTCTTTGTACAATGAGTCACAGATTCAATCGTCTGATCCATCAACAAAGAGACTTTGGCTGTTTGATATTGTTCATGACCCTGAAGAGAAATATGATGTGTCTGAAAAATACCCTCATGTGGTGGAAAAACTACTCTCACGGCTTCAGTATTATCACAAACGTTCAGTGCCTGTGTTCTATCCTGATGAGGATCCCGCGTGTGATCCAGCAGCAACTGGGGCTTGGGGTCCTTGGGCATAGTGAACAAAGCTTTGCACCCTGTAAAAAACCTCTGTAGCAGAGTCTGGTTTATGGACTCAGAGTCCTAGTGACATATTTTCTACTTTCTTTAGTGAGCTGTTGCTAATTGTGAGCTTATTTTTTCAATAATACAGTATTTCTTATTCTTGATCTGTTGGGAATCTTATTTCAGTCTTTCCCACTCTCTCATTCCCAACAGCTATATGTGAAATGTTAGTAATTTTTTTTTTTTTTTTTTATATTCTTTGTCTGGAATATGCTCTAGTGCAGAAGATAAACATTACCTCCTTCCTTGAAAGAAATTGAAAGGCATTGAATTCCTTGTAAGGAATCATGGCAGCAGGGACATCCAAAATTAATCAGCCTTGTGGAGTATACTGAATTCCGATTTCATGTTTGTCCAGAAGACAAATTCTACTGAAAGCTATTTTATATCTGTATTAACATAATTTTTTTTTGCCTTTAGCATGTACTTCCATCCAGAAAAGGGAAGAGTAAAAAAAGAAAACCTCACGAATACAACAAAATCTCTATTTCTTGTTCACTCTTAATGTATCAAACCAGAGTAGAGAGTGATGATCAACTTGAGTGCAGGGCTGTCAGGTAGAAGGATCTTGATAGGCTGAAAAAACGGATGAATAAAGATTTCATGAGTTTCAACAATTGCAGAGTCCTCCAGTTGGGGTGGAACAGCTGACCAGATGTAAAGCATTTTCATGGGGAAAACATCTAGGCATCCTTCTGGACAATAATTAAGACAAGAGTTACCATTTTCTCTCTAAGTGAAGAAACCCAACCAGCTGTTGTTCCATAAAAGTGAAAATGTAGCCAGCAGCTAGGGCATGTCTTAATTCCCTTCTACCAGTGCTCAAGCATAGCATCACATTTTGATGCACACAGGAAAAGTATTGACTATGTGGAATTAGTTCAGTGGAGAACTATGAATATGATCATGGGGACATAAAGAAATGGGTTAGTTTATGGTGGTTAGAAAAAGGGAAGTTGCTATCTTCACCTACCTAGTGTGAGAGCTTAGAGAAGAGGAAGCAGGACTCCTCCAAGATGCACAAAGATAAAAAGCACACAGGGAACATGTGGAGTTCCAATGCAATATAAGGAAAGGGGAAAAAAAATCACACCCTGTGGTTAATTAAATATGGGAAATGTGAGACTATGGGAACCCTTATCCTGGGCATGTTCAGTCTTCGGGGGGAGAAGATTCTGGACAATTCTATCCCTGAAGCTGGATCAAATTTGAAGTTGACCTGGTTTGGTAGAGGTGGTGAGGAGCAACCAGTGACCTCCAAAGGCCCCTTTCTGCAAGAATTGCTCAACGATTCTGTGATTAACAAAACCTTACTTTTATTACCTGCCTGGTAAGTACCCTGTCTTTATTACCACATGTTTTCATCCTGAAGTGGGCTCTGAGCCATGAAGAAACCAAGCCAAGCAATATTTTTCAGTTACTCATCAAATTGATGCAAGATAACCTGCCAGCTCTCTATTAGTGTCTCAGACCCTGAGTTCTGGTACTGCTTCTCAGTGTCCTTGGCTAAGTTCTCAGGATGCAGAGCTCAACCTATCATCATGTCCAGAAAGAAGGAATCTAATTGCCTTTTTCCTGGCTCCAGGACCAACTCATATAAATTGCACTAAAATTTTGCACAACTTCCCAGTTTTCTCTTGGGAGACTTGTGCTAATTGTTAGCAAACAGATTAATGAAGAGAAACATTTGACAAAATCTGTGCATTAAAAAAAAAAAAAAAGTCTGTAAAGAGATAACCAAGAAAACTGAAAATGCATATGCTTTCTAATACAGCTGATTCACTACTACACTGTCTTAAATCTTATCTTGAATGCTTGTATTTTTTACCTTTGATGTTTATTTTATGAGTGGAAGTGAAGCTAAAGCTCTCCAGAAACCTGTTCAGCATTTTATTTTATTTTTCTCCCAAAGAGCTTTATGTTACTTTCTAAGCTATTTGTATTCACACAAACATGCATTTCCACAGCCTATCCAGCCACAGGGAGAATCATCTGATTGTGACCTACCTCTAGGTAATTTATATTTTCACTGGTAAAACTTACCTGCTGTGACAGAAGCTCCTACTATACTACAGTTAGCAACTTTCATATGAACTAATATATTTAAAATATTAAATTAAAACTATAATACATTCTGCAGAAGCAGCCTCCAAACTGGTACCTGATCATATCTCCTTCTATTTTATGAAATACATTTAGACTTTTCTGTCATGCAGCTCTTCACTCGGTTCCTGTTCAGGTTTTAGCTAACACACAGTTCATACAAAGACCTGATGCTGGGATCAGCACTGTGAGATCCAAGAGAGAATAACACATATGAAGTCTACGGGAAGGGCTCAGGTCATTATGAAAGCCATTACTTGTCTGCTGCAGACATAATCCTTCCTACTGATTGTCAGTTCCTTCAGAATCCACTAACTTAAGGGAATCATGTAGACCAAACTTCAAAGCTGGAAGTCATAAATATGACAGCTTGCCCAAAACCACCTCTGAAGCATATCCAGCATCAGCCAATCTGCTGAGGTTTTCATGCTTCCTGATGGGATATGTGAGAGGTCTGCACTGTGACAGAGGAGAAAGGATGAGCACTCTTATCAGCAGCTCTGGGAGTATTTTGCTTATATGTAAGTTATGACTTAGACAACGTGTGAATTAAATGTTAGTCTCATTTGTATGAAGGAGATTGAGCTTTTGTTTGATGTGCGCGTTTCTTTCCTTTCCTAATGACCTCATAAAATAATTTAGAGACCATGTTGTCCTGTAAATTAGACCCTATTGAAGCATGACAATCTTGGCTTCAGAGTACAACAGCATTCCACTTTTGAGCTTTTGAAGATTCTTTATGATAACTGAGGTGCAGGCTCTGTTATTTGCTGACCACATAAAGGGAGGGAAAATGTAAGCAACAAAACCTTTTCATAAGCTATTGCATCACATTGACAAAGTTTGCATCTTCCTTCTGTTGCTCCAAAAACACCTTTATTACAGTTGCCTTTTGTAACTGTTGCAGTCAGTTTGTTTTATACTGATACAATTATTTATGTTAGTTTATAGCTAACCTGTTTAGTGCAACTGTAAGTTCCATGTTCTAATTGTAGCACACAGTTAGTAACGGTTTCAAAAGTATGGGATTCTGAAAGAGTGAAGTGTTAAATTACCTTTTGTGACCTTTAGATTTACTATTTTTATATGTGTCGTCTTATCCTTCGAATGTCTTTTTGAGATAAATCAACCAAAGAGCAGTAGTTCCATTAGTTCTTATTCATCCAGAATGTTGTGGTACAGTTTATTTGTGCAATCAAATGCAAATGGAGACATTGACAGCCATTCCCCAGTATATAAGGCAAGTAGATCCAAAGTATTTATGTTATCCTCACTCTTTTTTTTGGTATTGTGTATTTATGTAGTGTCCTGTGTACAAATGCAGACATGTAAGATTAGAAAGCTAACTGTTCTCAGTCAATATCACATATAACAGTTTATAGTAGGTGTTACAAGATGTGGTTGTTGCAATAACAAGGGACTGGACTTGGGGGTGGGGGAAATTTTTTTTGCCCTACATTCCTGTGTGCCCTTCAGCATTCAGCACTTGTATTACATGAGGAAAGATGTCTTACCCACAAAAGTGGAAACTTCTGTTAATGATATTTTTAACTGGGCTTTTTATGGTGATAGCTAGTTTCCTGGAAAAGGAAAAAAATCACCTAAATTTATGTGTAATTAATGTCCTTGACTCCCATCAATGTCAGCTTCTTGGCTGAAGTTAGAAAATATTTTTAAATATCTAATTTTAATTTCAGAGGTAAGCAGAGCTTTTATGTGTTCTCTTTTCTCTGTGTCCTGCAATCTGCATTTTAATGTCTTGCTGATATTCTAATTTATATATTTAATTTACTAGGAAGCGAGTGTGGCATATCATTGTCTCACACAGGTATTCAATTCACCCTCTGTTTCCTCTCATTATGTTTTAAAATGCAAAGATTCATTGTTTTCTCAGCTACAGTAGACCTAATTTTTATTTTTAATTGTCTAATTATTTTCCATGGGTGGTCCTTCATGAAACATATGAATTCAACTGTGTTAGGGAAAAAAAACATCTGGCTGACACATTTAGATTGGCATCTGCAAAGAGTTGTATACTGTGAAGTTGTTTCAAATTGGAAAATAGAAATTCTTTATATGTTTTGTGGTTACTTGAGTAACATTCAAAAATGCAAGTATTTTGAACTCTAAATAAAACTTCATTTCATCCCTTTCCAATTTAAGATTCATTCTTAATCTGGCAAACATCTGAACATCATGAATTCGAAAGTTTTAATCTTTACGCTTTAGAAATTATTTAAGCTTCAGAAAAGTAACCAAGTTTAGGAATAATGCTGACACTGGCTACTCATTTTGTATTACTTACTTGTAAAAAAAAATGTACACAGTGGATGATCTTATAAACAAAGTAGAAGATCTGGATCTTTTCTTGAGTCAAAGGCCCTATATTCAACCTGAAAATAATTTGTCCAACTTTTCTGAGGTTTATAAATGGGTCTTGGATAAAGATCTGAGTTTAGTTCTCTTTGGAATCTCTGAACTGAAGAACCCAGAGTTTAAACACTTGTGGTCAGTGTGGATTTGAAACTCCACTACCAGTCCTTGTTGGCCTCTCATCGTACTTTCTGACAAAGTGGTTTAATTGTAGAAAGACTACTAGCAATATACCCAAAACTCTTCCGTGCTTTCCTTAAACAAACAGTAAATGAGCACGAAGTTACACAGAGAATCCTGTTAAACTTGTGCCACCGTACTGCAGACAGGTTTGGATGGAAGGGCTGATGGTGGTAGAGCCGCTGACAGGGCGCCTATCCATGTGTGCTGGAGTTGGGCACACAAGGACATGCTGTCCATTTGTGTAGCCATGTCTGTAATCCTGGGGCCAGAGATACCCAAATGACAAGGAAGCAACTGAGACACAAAACACTTAAAGACAAAATGAACCATTGCTTGACAAATGAAAAACATATAATGTCAAGCACTACCAGGGAATCCAGAATCTAACCACAGGTTAGGCTGTCCTAAATGTAGGAACACCAAACCATCTCCAAGATGTAGCAGTTATTAAGGGAGAATTTTTTTTTTTCTGCCTACCTGCTCCTTTGGCAGCCCAACACAGGCCCTGCTCCAGCTAGACCCCAAGGCTGTGTCTCATAACATTAACCTTAGTGTGATGGAGGGGTCAGAGGACCATTTCTCCAGCCCAGCCCTTCTCTTGGCAGTCCCTTTGGAGCCCCACCCAAGCAAACTCATAGGTTTCATGTCTCTCAACTATAAATAAACTGAGGTTTGTAATGGGGAAGTAGTGCTTTTGGTAAGAGTAGGGGAAAAAACCCCTGCCAATTCTAAGTTTGAGGAGGTTAAGCAATATTTTTACCAGCGGGTTTACAGCTGAATGTTTTAACTCTTTCAGCTTTCTGTCTTTGTCAGCTACAGGCAGTGGGCTCAATTTTGTTTCAAGATGGGTTATTATGTGGGAAAATGCTGGTTGAACATATGGTGTAAAGAACTCCCTGGGGTCCCAAGCTGCTGCTTCTGAATCCAGTGCTCTCCCATCTTCTTCCAGTGCATTGCAATTCATGTATGAGCTCATCGACATCGAGCAGAATTGCTGCAAGGAACAGTAAAAACTTTTTTTGGCACAGAGCAGTCGGAATGAGTCAGCCATCCAACCATGGACGGGATCAGTGACAGCCCTTGTGGTAATTGCATACCGTGGCTAGCAGAGGCAAGGAGGATGATGCAGTACTTCTTGTTGTGTTAGGGTTCCCTCCTGAGAGTGTTGTTTTTGCGGGGTGGAGTGCAGAGATATTGGAAAGGTTGGCGACGTATCTGCTGCCAAGTTTCAAAGAAGTGACTACCGGCTGCCATCATCAAAGCAGTTACCGGATGTTGATCCCCTAATCCTGGCTAAACTCAATAGCAATAAAGGCAGTTATATTTTGTCTGCAGGACTATAGTTAGTAAAAAAAGTATAGTCTGAATAGCTAGATTTGGATCTAAGGAATGCAGTGTTTATTTGTACAAATCTTCAAAAGCCACAACAAGGTACTGCACCAAAGCCACAGTTCTGGGCTGCCAGATTTTGGCATTCAGTGACAAAAATAAAAAAGCCCTGTCTTTCTTTTCAGCTATGCATTCTTGCTATTTCTTCAAGCAAACAAGGAGTCAGAACACAGTGAATACACGTACAAACAAAGTAAGCTGTGTTTGGTATTCAGCAATGCTTATTGAGTAATTTTGGGCATAGAGCCCATGGTAATGAATGGAAAACTTTGATCAGGACATCTGTGGTCTGCCCAAATAATTTCATGGGACCTGCAAATCTGCCAGAAACATCACTCCATGGCCCTATTAACCAGGGATGTTGAAGTCTTTCTTGATTGTGTACATTCTACAAGAACACTCATGAACTAGGAGTCATTGATTTTTATTAGATAGAAAACTCAGAAATGGCTTATTCAAGGACATCTGAGCCCTTAAGTTTACCCTTCACATTTATCCTGCTTCACTGGGAAAAAAACTTTAATGAATCTGTCTGGACGATGAAAAGATAAATGTTGAGAGCATTGAGTCAGAGTGTGGACTTAGCTTCTAGCAAACATACTCTCAGTTCCAACTTAACTGTACTTAACTCACAGTAAAAAATAGTTTGGAGGTTTCTTAGCTATAGATTATAGTCTGGGCAATTCTGTGACTGCAAACTGTTTTCTTGATGTTGCTCATCAGTGTGCAGTTATCCAGTTATTCCTGGAGGATCATAACTTTTGCCCCTCTTCCCTTGTGTATGTGGTAAGAGGAGCTTTTTTTAAAAGGTTGTGAGCACCGTAGCTGCCAGCCCAAAAGCCATGAAAGTACGGCTGCCTTGTAGGTGGCCCCTATAGATGTACTGAGTTTTCACGTTAATTCTTGTCCCTTTTGCTTTGTTTTCAAATATGCTGTTTTGCAAGTCATACTCGATGGAAAAAGCACTGTCTGAAATAATCCCAAAGTGGCTATTAGTCCGGTGTAGTCATACCCCGCAGCCCCAGCAGTGACATGTTGTAGAAACAAAGTCATTCTCCTGCCTTTTCAGTTCTGTTTTGACTTTATAATGAAGAGAGCATGGTCATGGTATATTAAACAACTGGATAAAAGCAACATATACATTACCATCACTCTGCTTCTAACTAAAGCTCCAAAACCAATATAGTGGAGAAGCCTGGCTAGGAATTTACTGACATTTTTCTTTTGCCATAAATTCAGCATTAGAACAAAATATCCAGAACAGCTGAAATGGCATAGCCTTTGACTGAGTAAAAAATAGATGTATTTATAATATCAAAGGAGACTTACGAAAATATCCCAGCTGGATTTTGAAAAATGTAGGAGGGAACAGAACAGAACAATTGCATTTCTGTTTATGTTTGCACTAGAAAGTAGCCCACTGTGAAGAAACATTAAGGAATGTGAATGATTGAGAGATCGTCTCTTAGAGGCAGCAGGTATAAGATGTCTGAAATTCCTTTGAGTTTAAATTGCTTGTTAGCAACAGGATTTTTTTGGTAATTATTTCTGCCCACAGTACACCAGAACCTAATGTACATTGCTTTATGTGGAGAACTTTTTAGAATTCACCTTTGTCTGTATTTACTTTGTGATAAAGAAAAGGCCATGGTATATGGAAAAGAAATTTTAAAAGGAATTAAAAAAAATTATTATTCCAATACTATAAAATTGAGAGAATTTTCTTACAAAAATAAGAGTTTCAATGCCAATGCTTATTCTATTTATATCAAATGCAATTGCAAGAACCCATCTTCCTGACGATAAAGACTAAGTGTAGTGTTTAGAGACAAGTAAAATTATTGACAATATTTTATTGAGGATTTTTGTATTATGCAGTGAATTATGCATTTCAGATTTAACATGTGACAAAATATGCACTAAATATGTGGACCTAATCCAAACCCCAAATCCAAACAAAGCAAGCTCCTATGTTGTCTAAGTTTGTTGTATTTCTAAATTTTATATTTTGACTCTGTGCTTCTAAATACCAATATTAAATTAATTAGTATCTGTTTTTTTCAGAAGCAGTAGGGATGCTGAGACCCTGCTATCACAACAATGTTTAACAACAATTCATTTCAGAGCTTACAGTAGTGTAAGCATCATAAAGTTCAAGCAAAAACAGACTTTTTAACAACAGCCACTATCCATCCTTTTACTTAATATTATTTAATGACATTTGTTTGATAACACATTCAAATAAAGTAATGGCATATTTTTAAATGCAAATGTTGGTTTTATCTATAATTTATTTTCATTGTGCTTGTCATAAATGTACTGCTGATACATGAAATTACAAGAAAATATTTAGGAACACTTAAACACTGTATAAACACTTGGTTTATACTTGATTTATTTAGTAACACTTATTTATACCTAAATATTATCCAAGTAATAAGTGACTATAATACACCAATAATCATCAAAATTCTAGATATAGCAGAAATATGGCATTGCTTAAGTCCATAACTGTCAGCCCCAATTGCACACACAACTGCAGTGCACCTGTAGCACCCTTTTCTTCCACTCCTGTCTTAGGAGCTGGTTACTGCATAGATCTCTCTATATTATCAAAGGGAAAGTCAGAGTAATTCCACTCAAGGCCATAGCTTCAAGTGAATGCAGTGCTCATGAAAGGACTTTGCCCATGAGTTGCAGTCAGAAGATTCAGAATTAATTAATGATTAAGTAACATCCATGTGTCTTAGTTGCCCATTTGAAAAGGTGAGGACAGGGTATTGTGAGAAGTACAGACAGGGCTGTGCTTGGAAAAGGTTTGTTTGTGGCTTTGGTCACTTGGCCCAAGTGCAGTCATGCTTCCAGTTTGTTTTATGAACTGGCCCAGTCAAGCTGTAGAGCAGAATTAAATACTCCTGTTTATCATATAAACTGGAATAATTGTTTTAGTTCAGGAAAAACTCTTTGATTATTGTTCACTGATTAAGTTATATTTGTAGTGGAATCATGGCTTATTTTGAACATTCTGAAAATATGATAAGAGGATAACTGTTACTCTATATCACTGCTAGAAGAGGAGAAAGTTACTCTCTCAGCTAATAACTCTAATTCAGTTGAGTTACTCTTTCAACTAATAACTAGTTTTTACATATATGCATATTGCAAACATTCTATTCTTGCTTAATGTTGTTTTTTTCATTGTGTGTTTATATTAAAAAAATATTATCTAGATATGACTATGAGAAAGTTAGCAAAGATACATTTATTTATTGAACTTCAATCTCTAAATAGACCAGCAGAACAGACCTTAGGAGTTGTCATTAATAAAGTCTACTGCATTGAAAATGTTATGATCTCCATTTTCTTATCCTTCTGCTCAAAAACCTGGAATGAAAGTTTTTAAAGAAAGAATAAATTACAGCTATAAACCTTATAAAGAAATATGTTTAAGATAAAATTTTCTTTTGGTAGACCATAGTGAAGCCCACAGAGACAGAGAGGCCACTAAATCTGGAAGATTTCGGTATTTTTTAAGTGGGCCCATATTTAAGTTTACATTACTGCTTAGGAATCGACTTCCAAAAAGCCATAACAGTGGCTACTGTTCTTTCCCTTAGGGTCTGAACAAGGAAATCCAATGTTTTCTGGTCAGCAGTAGGAATTCCACTTTGTAATCTGACACTCTTCATTCCTCTCCTCTCAAAGGCAGTAAACCAAAAACTTAAAGGCAGAACAGATTTTCAGATCATGTAGCATTTGTAAATCCTCATACACATTTAATAATTTATTGGCATGTACAAACTGAAATCTTCATGACCTGGCCTTTCTCTTGTCAGTTCCTGCTCTCATCACATTGTCTAGTTAGGCACGTTTCACTGAGAATTCATGTTTTTGCATTTCTCTGATTTCAGCCCTATTGTTCCAAACTCATGAGGAATAAAAAGTCGTAGAAGAGCCAAGATCTTCATATTGGGAGACTGATACAGCTTGACTATAGCCAACAGAGCTATGCTAGTTCATACCAATAAGAATGCAGTGATTAGAAAGATATCAGTCCCTTTTGTCTACTGTTTAATATCTGGTCTCTAGCAAGCATGTGGTGGTGGCATGCTCCTGCATACATACGCAGTGGTAACAATTGGATCTTTTCATGCTCAGAGTGAGTAACTCAATTCTAGTCAGTCTGTAATTTCTTTCTGACAGGCTCGTTATTTGTCTGCTGATGGTATGGTTATGGTTAAGGGCAGCTGTACAATTTTAAAACACAATTTTTCTGTAAGCACAGTATGTCTCTTCAAGCACACTTCTGTCCTAACAGCGCATAAGCCTGCTCATCCAATGACCATGGCTGCATCAGTTGTAGAATATGGTTGTAAGACATTTGAGAGAGCAAACGTCTTGACACACAGTTTTACTTGCTGCTGTCACCTCTGTTCATTTATCTTTCTGTGATGGATATGTATTTTTGCAATAGTAATTACAAAGTCTCTGGACTCTGGACTAGGAAAATGATCTAGTTGCTTTGGCTGCTTGTGCTCATTTAGGATTTGTTCGAGTTCATGCTGGTGTCAGCATGCCCTCTGGCTTCATTGGAAGACCTCAGTGCCATTTGAAAAAAATTAGATTATTTTCAAGTGTGATACAAACTGAAAACTCAGTTGGAACTGTGTAAACTTCTGTAAGACTTGTTTGTAGGAGCAAATGTAGTAAGAACAGCTGTTAGGAAATCTCTGTTCTTCTCTGTACTTTCAATATATGTGCTGCACTTTAGCTACATATATTGAACCTCCTTAGTCACTTCTGTGACTTATCTGTTAAAGATTCTTTTGAAGAGATAAGTATTTTTGGAACATTTCTTAAAACTATGATGTTTTCTGGACTTTCAGAAGAAATTCTGAGAAGTCCACTCCTGCAGCTAGTACAAATTTCTGGGTAAATAATAGCAAGGTTTTGGTGAATTCTACACTTTGCGTTTGAGTACATACCTGTAGCTGTCACCTCTGGTGACAGCTATGTCTGGACTTTTAGTTTGGATCTGTATCCAAACAGTGACAGAAACTATTAATGTAAATTAGAAAAATAAAAGCCTGTGCATTTCCATACGTTTACTGTAAGGAGGTTGCAACAGTAAATTCCAGCACAATGATTTCATGCTCCTAGGATATCATGTGGGTATTTTTAATTGTCACTCTTAGTGAATTGTGTACATCTGAAGTGTATGTTTTGCCTGCAAAGCAGAGCGATTTAGAAGAGAATGCATTTACTGCATTTACTACATTTACTACACCCTGTTCTTCATAGATCCAACACCTCAGACTTTCTGCACACCCTTTTGAAATTAGCTGCTGGGAGGAAGGAACACTGGCAACAGTGTTATGGAAGTGCAGTCTCAGGCTCTGCATTCCCTTAATTAGAAACCTGAGACTCGTGGTTAATGATGATTAATGTTCCATTCTATTTTGCTAGTTCTTCCTTGCGGGAAAAGATCACATAAAGCTGAAGTACTTTCAACTAACTATTGATATTAATGAATTTCATTTTAAAAGAAAAGTTATTTCTACATATGTTACTGACAAAGTAAGAATGAAATTCTTATCCAAGAGTGTGTCATTTAACTAAACCTGACAAACATAACTGCCCTTAACTGTTGTAGCTGCTTCTCTTTCCCACACTGTTGTTTTATTTTTTTAAAACTTCAAAGTCTCCAAATTCCTCCTGATTGATGCACTGATTTTTAAACAACATCTTTGTTGTGTACTGCAATCAGACAAGTGCTAATATCCTTGAGGAATCTGGCAGGACTGTGGGAATCTTCCAGCCATAATTGCATCTTACTGTAAATGTGATAATATTGGCAGCTTCAGATGGGTTGACAGAATGTGCTGTTGCTGAGGGTGATACCAGCTTTCTCTATTGATTTATGAGGCTAAGGGTCATTCTTTTATGCATTCTTTGCTGTCTCTGGTATGGAGTTTTTTAGTGCAGTTCTGGAAGATGTTAGAGACATAAATGCCTGCTGTATTTAAACACAAAAATAGTGTAATCGGGAAATAGGAAATCCTAATTACATCATTTAAATTGCTAGCATGATGAATTATTATCAGTGACACTGAATTTTAATGTTATAGTTGAAGTTTATTAGTTTGAACATTATCAGAAAAATAAAGCAATATAAAGATGCTGACTATAGTTCAACTTACTGTACAACCATGTTAACCCAAGTCTTGGATTTTTGTATTCAGTTATTTACAAGTTATTTTAGCGGAACACTTTAATATGTTTCTTGTTCTTTAACAGGTTCTAGTGCTGAATAATTACACTGAAAATTAATTTTTGGGGCTAAGGACATTGCAGATGATTTACTACATCCCTAAATATGTAATCTCCTTATATTTATTCAGTTTTTCAGAATCTGGATCTGTGTCCCAAGCCATGGTTATCACTTGTTCAAATTCTGGTACAGACCATCCACTTCTCTGGTAAAAAATATATTTTCTCCAAGTATAGGGGTAAAACCACTTGTTTTTTATTCTTGTGAGTTGCTCCACTTTTCTTCTTCCTCTGTATTTTCATAAGAAAAGTAAGATACCTTTCATTTTAATTATCTAATAGACCCACAACTTGCAAAGCATTTATTCACTGGATTTTATTTTTTATGACCAGACTATGAAGAATAAAACAGTGTTTCCTCTTTGGTTGTTTTTTAAGGAGAGAGTGATTTGCTTATTATGTTTAGAATAGCACTAATAGAGGTTCAGGACCACTATCATTCTTTAATTAATATGACAGATGAGAGATAAAAAGGTGTTCCTTATTTGTTTTAACTGTATGTACTCTGTGCTTTCTGAAGACCACTTGGCCTACAATCTCTTTAAAAAATACCATGATTTGGCTCTGAGTCACATGTTTTGCTTGAAATCAGATAGCCAAAACCACAAGAATCTTAACTTGTTAGAAACAATGATTGTTCCAAAAGTGTGAATGCAGAAGACTGGCATATATATGGTAAGTAGAGGACGCACATAAAAGCTCCTGATATACCCTCAACTTTGGGTTTTATTAATTTTGCTGCTGTTACATCACTGGGAAACCATGAGCACCTTGCCATACAAGGCTGGGGTTTTCTGTTTGCTGTTTTAAGGCCAGAATATATATTCTCACATTAACAGTGATTTCAATCCTAATTTTCAGTGTCAGAATTTGGTCAGAAACTGCTTCATGGAACCATTTCTTAATGACCTTGCACCATGACTTTCTTCCTGCAGCACTAGAAATGACTGTACATAGTATCCTGGACACACCATGAATTCCCCAAGAGAACCTGATGCATTACTTTGTCAAAAGAAAGACATGTGATTCTTCTTAGTTTACTAAATTATACTTAAAATTTTTCTCCTTTAAGATTTTCTCCAAGTGCTCCAATTGTTGCAACAATTTGTAATGAAATGTGACTCCCAGGAAAGATCATCAACTGAACTAATTTTGATGCTAAAATATGACCTGTGCTTACTTGTCATTCAGTGGCTTTGCAGATGTACACACCAATTTCTTGTGTAACCATCCCCTGAACACCACATAAGAAAAGGCTAGGGGAAAAAAATCTTAAGAGAAACAGTTCTAGTTGAAATTTGTAATTTTGTAAAAATGTATTCACCAAGCAAAACACCATCTTTTAAAGGTTTCTGTGGGATAGTTAGACAGCCTTTTATTGCATGGGGGCTACCGTGTATATTTTGTCTATTTAGTACTATTTTGTGAACTACTTGTGATGCACTGTATAATTATTGAATTTAGTTATGACACCAAGCTCTAAGGTGTAGGCAATAGCTCAGTAAGATCTTAAACACTGATATAGCAATTTGTATTATTTCGGCTTTGGGAATTATAATTTTCTTTATTCACTACCTATTTACGGATATTTTGCTACTGTAGGAGAAGCATGCACTAATAACTATGTAATACTCTTGGTCAATATGTGCCTTATTTTTCTCCATAATTAATTTCTTCCTTTCTATTTCCTCTTCTCATAAGTAGCCCTATAATTATCATCATTAACAATGTTTACTTTTAATCAGCTGTGGTATTTTAATTCTCAGCTCTTATTTATTTTTCCCAATTATTCTCAATAATTGCAATGTCCTTGCAATATAAGTATTGTTTGTTTCCAAGCTATTGTTTTGATTCTTCTCTGTTCAAATAAGGAAAGCATGAATTCCTAGGACTAATCATTGTAATGTTTCATTTATGTTATCTCCAGCTAATTATTTTCATTTGTGTTTTAATATAGATCATTCATCACTTCTTAAACAGCTAATTTAATTCTTTCAGAGACAAAAACATGAAAATGCAATTTAAAGTTACCTGCTTACACAAAACATAGTTAAAGATGAAGTGTAATTTAGTGTGTGAGAGAATCTTTGAGAAATAAAAGGCTGTTGTTGTGCTCCTAAGTGTGTGATCCAAGGCATCTGTCTTTAACAAGGAAACATGTTTTATTCTGCAGTCAGAACTGGCCATTAGCAGGGAGTAAGACTATTTGATTATTTTGCAGACACAAGGCAATTGACTCATCAGAAGACATGTTTGTCACTGAACATACACAAACCAATGGCGTAGAAGAGAAACTTACACACCCTGTAGCTAGATGATGCAGTGTTTGCAGTGTAGATAACTTTAAGAGCTGTGAAAATAGTGTAATTTTCCATAAGGTCATAAGGGCCATCAACCATTGAAAGATAGGGATTCAAATTCTGAGTTTTTATTATGTGACCAGTAGAATCCTTAGTTGGAGATCCCAGCAAATCTCTCATGCTAACTCACAGATATGCACCTAAAGGGTAAATAAGCAATAAGGTGAAAGGAGTTGTTACAAAAATATTGGTCTTTAATTGAAAGAAAAACTAAGACTAATAGGAAATGTGTGTTTTAGCAAAGGACTGGATCTTAAAAGGAATTCAGAAGCCTGTTGTCCAGAATCCTCAACCTCTAGCAAAAGCCTTTTTAGCAAAAGCTCCAAAATAGGTCTCCTGTATTTATATTGGACATGATTTTCACATTCTTTTAAAGTTGACATAGAGATACCATATCAAACAAAGTGATTGATTCAGGTTTCAGTGAATAATTGGAGAAAGAAAATTCTTCCTACAGGAAAATACCATAAATCCTTCAGCAGGGTTTTTGCTGTCATTAAATTTATTTTTTATGTTTTTTTCAGTCAGCATTCTGGTGAACACAGGTTTTTACTGATGAAACCTTGTGAACTCAATTACATGGAACTTAAAGCCAAAACACTAGATGAACTTTTTGTGGCTTAATTATACATACAAGGTGTTATTAAACTGAAATACAAAATCAGAGTATTACTTTACAGAAGTGCCATTTTGTAATAAAAAGGCACAATATTTTCAAAGAAGCTTGATGAAGAACTGTGATCTTTCTGAATATAGTGCAATGGGTTATGTAAAAAGAAAGCATTTATTGCATTTGTTTGGCTTAACAGTCATAAAAAAATTTCATTACTGTGTCATTAAGAGCTTCAGATACTGTAGCAATTGTTAGTGTGTTGACACAAATTTGGGGTTTCTTAATAGATTCCTTTTTGAGTTCTGAGGTTACATGTTTTCTTCTAATCAAAATCAGCAAGTTTGTTTGCTAGTTTTAAGCCAGTAGTGCCTCACTCTTCATTGTTTATTCAATGTGTATACATTCTTTCTTTGTTCAAAGTATATATGTTCTTTGAAAGCATCTGATATTAAGGGTCACTTATTTAGTGTTGTGTGCTGCAATGAACAATGCAATCTGATTTCAAAACTGTTGTGAGATTTTAGGAATTGTGGTTAAACCTCTTTTTATATGTTCCATTTTTTTTCTGCTGTAATTCAGAACACATGGCCTTGTGCTGAGGAAGTTAACATTATAATACTCAGTAGTTTGCCAAGTTACAAGGAAATGGCTACATTGTAATTGTTAGTACATAATTGTGATTAGTGATTGATGAAGAAAAGTCTACTGGTGTCAGTATGCAGGCCATATCAAAAATACGTTCTTCAACCTTAAAAAGCATTTTTCCAAATCGCAAGTCTTTTCTTTTAGCAAGATCCAGATTTCCCCAGCTTATGTAGACTGTATGTGATCTTCCACATTAAAAGATCATCCCCAAGTTATTGTCAGTATGTATGTGCATATCTTTGTTCTTTGGAAGAGACATGAAGCTGTGTGCCTCCAGGCTTCTTAGGACATCTGAATCTCTTTAATCTGTCACATGTCAGATTAGTGCTTTTGTAAGGCCATAAAATAAACATGATGTAGACCAAAAGGATGTGTTAATGCTGTCAGAGGTTTTTTTCAGGGACAGTATATCTGACTTGTATGATGCTAATTAAAATTCATATTTGATGGGTAGTTCAGGTATTCTATAGCTAAAATTGTCTTAATGTTATTATTTTTTTCTTTTAAAATCATATATGATGTGCTAACTACCTTCTGGAAAAATTAAATCACTGTGCTAATGAAGATCTTGCTGTACAGTATGTCCTCCAAAGGTTAGGGGCCGTTTTAATTTTTGAGTGTATTGGAATAGCTTGTGGCAAGGTCCAAGCAGATGGTAAAAGAGTTACTTCTCAGGAACCTTAAATTTAAACATACAAAAACTCCTTTTGTATTTTGTTTTTTATTTATTTTCAGAGTTCTGGATAAACCAAAAATATAGTGCTGGCAAAAGTTCTACACTGCATGGTTTCTAATTTGGCTTTACAATCAATAAGCCTCAAAACAAAAAGTAAAGGCTTCTCAGTGAGAAACAACTCTCAAGTTTGAAAGTGTGATTCAAGACAGCATGGTGCACCCTGAGAATTCCATTCTTCTTTTACACTGCCTGGAAAGCTCATTTAACCTGTTTTGGAGATGGATGTGATAATTTCATAATATCAGAAGTAGGAAGAGTTTCACTACATTTGTGATAGGAGCAGGAAAGGAAACTAGAGCCACATGAGACAAGACAGGGATTTCAGACACATCCTAAAAGATTACAGATATTACAGTTAGCTGACAAGATGATGAGGATAAACTACTAATTTACACTCCTGGGCTGGAGGGCATAATTATAACTTCTGTAAGGACAGTTATCAGAGTGCAAGGTGTGGAAATACGATAGTCTACAGGAAACAAAGCAAAGGGGAGTCCAACCAAACCAGACCAACAAAAAACAATCTGCATCGTTTATTCCTTTTTTTGGATCCTGGCAATGCCATGATCAGTGTGTGAAATCCTGAGCATCCAGATGAGCATAAAATATGTTAGGAATCCACTTCCTATCCTTGAATGTGGGGAATGTGTAGAAATTAGCTCAAAACCAGCATAAACTGCCAGCAGGAGTAGTGGGTGTCTATAACTGCTCTGATTTGTACTGCTCTGGTTCTCATTGAGATGCTGTGGTGCCTAGGAAACTTAAGTGTAATCATGACTGAATTATTCCTAAGTCAAAATTCCTAGAAATGCCCATTTTAATTCTGAAAATACATTTCAAGCAGTTATTATAGAACTGAAAATATGGAGTAACAAGACTGTTTCACTGAATTTCTTTGGATAGTTTGGTTGGATCTTCCCAATCCTTAAGCAATTCTTTCAAGTGTTAAATTGCATTGAAAAACTTGGCAATGTTACAATCTTTGAAATTTATCTCTAATGATCTTTACACTGATGAATGAAATATTAAACATTTTTCAGATACATAATTCCTAGAAAAAGCACTAGGCTATTTCCTTTTATAATTTGTAACATAGCCAGTAGAACTGTAGGATATTTTGGAAAAAGTCCTAGAAAATGCCTCATTTGTGGATGATTACACTAGTAGTTGAAGAAGGTATCAGAGTTGCTTTTTTTCAACTGGATATATGAGTTGACAGGGTCATTTGAAATGTTTTATGTGTAGTCACCTTCTCAGTCATGTAAATGTATATGATTTCTCTCAGCACTTCTGAGGACATTAGAAGAGAAACAGATTAGTATAGTTGGTTGTTAATGTAGGCATTTCAATAATTGAATATCTTATTTAAAACCCAACCTCTTTAATTATTTATACCTAATGGATGTCTTGGTTTGTTCAGTTGAAAGGATACTGATAATTTAAATTCCTATTAATTACTGCATCAAAGTGCACTTTAAAATATTCTCCGTCCTAGAGCGCTAAATTATGGGAAAGGAGATAAAACAGCTGTTACTGCTGTTGTGTCAGGCAGCATTTATTTGGCTAGACAGTTTTTTTACATACTAGTTACAATAATATGTGTTTCAAAAATAGAGATTAGGCGTAGTGATAAATCTGGATCCCTTCAGTGAGTCTGAGTGTCTGCATTCAATTAAAGCCTTCTTAAAATACAGCGGTTGATTCTATTTTACCATATTAGCAGAGTCCCAAATTAGTTTAACAAATAGTGTCCCCAAAACACAAGCTTGGTTCAGAGATGGAATGTGAGACCCCAGAATACTCAGCCAGGGTCAACAGATATCTCAGACACGCACCACAGGCCTTTGTCTCTTCTCATGTTGCTTTCTCTTAAAGGTCTCAGACTCTGAGACACTGTTTTAACTGGCCTTATTTTTTCAATTTGTTTTTATTTTTGATGAATGCCTGCTGCTGCCTTGAATTGGTCTGTAAGTCTGGAAGAGTGCTTTCTTCATCGCTTTCCCACGGAGGCTTAAGCAGCCCTGTCCTTCGTCCCTTTCACTTTTCGTCTCTAAATAGGTTATTAGACTAGCTTTCCTGAGTCACCCTCAACTTCTTTCTCCTGTAGAGATGAAAATCTCAAGATATGTCTCTGGATATATAGGAATTAAGTAATCAGTTCAGATTCAGTATTATTTAAGACAGCTCCCAGTCTTTCCTTCCAAACCTTCTTCCTATTTCTTTTCTCTCTGCAGACATCTCCATGCTTTTTGCTACTCAGCACTGATCTTTCCCTAGGTCATCACATGCAGGTAAGTCTAGATACTGCACATTGATTCTGTACATAACAACTTAGACATAGTAATTTTTCTTTATCAATGGCTACAATTCTCATATTAACTTTATTTTGACCTGAGCTATAAAACTCCTTTCCTCTGAAATCTATACATTCAATATAGTTTTGCTGTTATCCACTGTGCATGCTCTTGCACCCTTTTCATTGTCTACAACACAAAGTGATAATTTTGAATGACCTTTTTAGCTTAACCTCAGCCTCTTCTCATTTCTCATTTGCTCCTGAAGTGTCCAGTATTTTTTGTCCAGTAATTGTTCTGGGTTTTTTTTCTTTTTTTGTCCCTACTGCCACTATACAGCTATACAAGAGAGAGATCAAATTATTTTCTGCAACATATATACTGGCTGACACTAGAGCAATGAACTACTGAAAAATCAAATGTCACAGCTAAGTGCTTACAAAAACTTAAATTTCTGAAGCTGCAAACAAAA